GACAATGTTGGCGTCATTTTGAATAAAATTCACTTATCTTTATTTACGGCAAGTTTACGGCGTCTTTTCCCCTCATTTATTCCCGGCATTGGACCATTTTGAGGTCTTGTTATTGTAAAAAAACAAACTGACGTCAGTTTTTTATGCGTCTGTCCTCTTATTGATGATTAATTTCGTTGTAACATTGTCAAAGTTTACTACGGAACCACTCACCTGCGGCTCGTGGTTCCACAGCCACTTTGACAATGTTATGACGCAATTTATCATCAATAAGAAGACAGACCCAAAAGAAACTGACGTCAATTTTAAATAGACCCAACCTCGTTCCCAGGCTCCCTCTTCTCTGCCTCCCTGGGAATCAGGTTGTTATAGACCAATTACAAGTTACAGGTCACACGTGCCCGATTGATGCAACATTCCAATCCAAACTTTCAGGTCTTAGTTCGCAAATCGAAATGTTAGATTAGGGATTTTCGATCAAAGTTTCCAGGGCTATAGCACTTTGCGACTGCAAAATTGCAATTCTGAAATTTTCCTAGTTTAAAGACGTTTACGCCCACTGACAGATTTTTTCAAAACTGAACATGAAGTAAGGTAAAGATCAACTTTTGCCAAAAAGCCACAAAAATCAGAGTGGGGGAGGGGGAGATAAGGCGTGTTGAAGACCATGCGTTTTTGGAAGTTTTCGTTATTATAAGACGATGTTAACTTACAACTATCGGCCATAAAAAAGCTACATTAGTGAAATTTAGATCAGGTTAACGTCCGCAATTCAACACAACTAAGTATATCAAGTAAACTTTGGAGCTGATGTCGTTCCTTGAGCTACAAAAGGCCTAGAGAAAAACAAATATTAGCCTCGCCCCTCCACATTCGCAGGAACTGTCCGGCAATTGGTCCTCAATTAACAGGCGCATTCTTTCCTCCTCCCACGTTAAACTTTGCTGCTTAGAAATACAGCTGAAAGTGACCCAGGAAGCTTGAAGACGCGCTTTCGCCGCCGATGTTACAAAACTAAATAAATGTAATCCCAACCTCTTTATTCATAAAACAAGAATTTAACTCGCGGAAAGACTGGGTTCATAAGTCGTGTGCGGCTTGCTATACAAACTCATACGTCCACACAGTGCATTATTTTCTAACATTGGCGATATTTCTTCGGTTTCCTTTTCCTTTGTGTACTGTAGCCCCAAGTGCAAAATAAAATATTAAACGTTACATTCCGTTAAAAAAAAACGTTATTTTACACTAACTTGATGTGACTGAAATTATGCTTCCAGTGTTGCGATCGGTAAATGATATCTAGTTCTCTAAGGTTTTCGTTATTCGATCTGTTGTTTTCTCTTCTAATGGCTTCTATCCACCTTCATCAGAGTTGCAATCTTAACATTCGTTTGAAAAGCGAACCTTAAGATTGCAACTCTGATGAATATAGGTGGACAGAAGTCACCAAAAATTCAGAACAGAAAACAACAGATCGCATAACAAAAACCTTAGAGAATTTCACTAACTTGTTCATACACACATGCTAGTTATATTAACTGACAAGGTCACACGTACTTGCGCTTTCTTTGCTGCAACTGAGCTAGTATTTGCGACACAATTTTTAATTTCACGCGTAATAAGCTTGTGAATGACTACGTTAAATTGCTACCTTCTCACATGCGCAATTCGGCACTCAAGTGAAAAGCTCTTTATGCACTTGGAACACTTGAACTCGTTTGCATCACGTGTTTTACAGTTGGTTACTCAAACAACAAACAAAATTGCAGTTCCATTCCTTTTATAGCTCTGGGTAAGTGCCGGGTCAGGATATCTTCATTCACGTTTCGACTTAGGCACAGCGTTTTAGAGCGAGACAACCATTTGACAGCAAATTTTACTGCCACTCGACGTTTTCAATTCCACCGCATTCTTCGCTCACAATGGCTTGTTTGAAGAGAAAACGAGTCTCCTCATTTTCTCTCGGTTGCTTCGAGAAAGCCGAGAACCAGAGTCGTAAAACAGCTGAGATAAGCTAGCACCCAGTTTTTTTTTTCCTGTATTGCATCATTCTCGATATCTTGGCGATCGTCCTCGTTCTATTCCTTATTATTCAGACCTTTTTTTCTGTCCAATGTTCAGTATTTGACAACTCAAGCTACTGAATTACAAGCTCAGTGTCCCTTGGTACGCCACAAGCATCTCGGTGTTTGTCAAATAACCCCTTCAGTTTCTTCACATACTCAGAATGCAATTCATTTATCTGTTCGGCGCTGGGGTTTTCTGTTCTTTCCACCGGAATAGCAGATCCAACTGAAAAAGAAAAAAAAATCACAAAATAAGGGGAATAATAAGAGACAAAGATTACATTATCTGTAAGAGGGCAATAGTGCAAACTTAAGATAGTGTTCAGATTGTCGAAATTCAGGATAAGCGTTAAAGTGCCCATAATGTCAAAAAAAGTTTTTCGCTCATCTTATTCTACATTTCACCTAATGAACTTCTGCGAAAAAAATTTTCGATTTGGATAAAATGCAATTTTTTATAAATTTTTAAAGACGTTCAAATTTGCCGCCATTTTGGTCCACCATTCGCACCAGCTCATTAGGTGAAATGTAGAATTAGATGAGCGAAAAAAAAGTTTTGACATTATGGGCACTTTAAGTGATTGACTTCGTAATAGCCGAGTCCTTAGTGGTTGTGAGATCTTGAAGCCGCATTTCTTTCTAAGGAGTCGCAACATACAATTGACATTTCTGACTCTGAAAAAAGTCCGCTGAGCTTAAACAACGCATTCAAATGAACCAAAACATCCCTCTCTCTCTCCTCAACAAGTCGTCACGCAATCACTGTGCCCTCTCTCTCTCTCTCCTTAACAAGTCGTCACGCAATTACCGCGCCCTTTGTTTCTGAGCGCCTCAAATCTGGCTCAGGTCTGGGTGACTCAGCGGTACCAGGGCGCTTAAAATGATAACAAAAAATGCTGCTCAACCTATACCATTAATTGCCTTCTGAGAACAGCTTCTGCAATGGTATGTTTTCCATAATAAGTTCAATTTGCTGGGGCATTCTGAGAAGATTTGCCAGAAGTGGTAATAAATATTCTCTGATAGCAAAAATACTTACAAAGGGACTAAATTTTAAAAAAAACTCACCAACAACGGTTATAGGTCTTGGATCAGGCATTATACAAAACCGTGCAAATGGAACCAGTAGACAGCCCTTGATGAATACTTTTGCCCATTTCTTCCATTTGCTGCAACCAGTTTGATAACTCTGAAGGCATCTAATTTTAGGCTGTCTACTGAATACATCGTTTTGACCAAATCCAAAAACTGGAACCAAATGTGATCTATAGAAAAGACAAACAATGTTGTTAGTTTTTTGTATGACATTCCTACTCAAGGTAGCCTGTGTTACAGCTACACCCTGGAGATACCCCAGATTTTAAGTGATGGGGAGGATCCGATGGGGGCAAAAAATCCCTAGGGCTTTTAACAAAACCCAAGAAAATCTCTGGACTAAAAATTAAACTTACCAAAATCCCATGCCAAATTTCCTAGTCTTAAAAATTTACAGTAAGAATAAAATTATATAAGGTTTGGTTGTACATGTACTTTATTTGCAGACCTGTGTGTCAGGGGCACTACCACCAATCTTCAAATTGTTTTGAAACCCCCCCCCCCCAAAAAAAAAACAAAAATTAAATCAAGCCACCCCCTGCAAAAAAAAATTGTCTAATTTTCCTACCCTAAAAATCTTTTGACCCCCAGAAAGCCACCCTCTCTGAAAGAAGAAATTGAGAGAGTGTCCTTCTCCCAGACATTTTCTTTCAGGGAGGGTGGCTGTAACACAGGCCTATACGTAAGGTTAAGAACAGATTTGTATTCCGACCTTCAAAACACGAAGGATAAATTACAATCCTTAATGCGTATCTAAACAAAATATTAATTTTAGAAAGTTATATTATACGAACAAAGGCAGATTCAGGAAATTCAGATCTAGGAGCAAAAACAGTTGATCAGTTGATGTGACAACCTTGTGGATGCCTCCCATAAAATGTATATAATTTACCTGAGATACCATTTCTTACATTCTGATCGCAGTTGTGATTGTGTAGTAATGTTTCGGAAAATATCCATAACTCCCCCACGGAAGGCATTATATCCTCGACCCACCACCCCTCTGGAAATTCCATTTAAACTTGATACATTTTTTAAATGTTTTTGTCTCAGAGAACCCCCAACCAACCAGCAAATTCCAATCCCTTCTGTGGTGGGAGTATGGATATTTTCTGGAATTGCACATTAAAAAAAAAATGTTAAGGGTCCAAATGACAGATTTTAAATTTGTCCAACATAACGGGACAGCTAGGCTCCCTTGGCCCTCCAAGGACCTAAATCTGCTTATAAATATCAAGGATAATTATTTCATATTACCCAGTTTCCAATGCCAGCTTGACAAAGCCCTTCCTTCTTTCTAGGGTAATGTTGTAAGAGTTGGCACATGTATCCAGGACATCACAAACACCACCAATAACTATGGCAACGGAATGACCGGGGCCTTGTTGAGTTAGCACAAACTTGCAGCTGTCACGATGTACATTTACAACACCAAGGGCCATGACAATATCACGGAAGATTGGAGACCATCTCATGACTAAATATTGGATAAAATCAATACACATTGACCTTTATTTCAGTTTATCTATCTTTATAATACCTTGAGGAGTGCATGAAAAAAGGCCCATTTGATAGTTACATCTGATAGACTGCAAGATTCTTCTAGCAAATTGCTTTACAACAAAAAAAGGAGAATTTGACATGAGGTCAAGAATGACTTAGAGTTTTTTCCATGCACCCTGCTTCACTGGCCCCTATGGCTATTCCAGGCGGCTAGTGCTCTGTTTAATTTATTTTTTCTCTCCATAAAATCAATGTTTTTTGTAACAATGAGTACAAATAAAGGTGGTGGTTGTTGTTGTTTTTCTTTTAAGGATAATTCTACTTTACAAGCATTTTCCACTTCAGTTTGTTCCAAAAAAAGGTTAAGTCTGCATACGAGCCAAGTGGCCCAACAGGCAAGAGCTTATTCCCGTTTCTGTAGCATGAAGCAACTAAGAGTATTTCTACTCCCCCCTGGATGGGATGTTAGTCCATCGCACAGTTAACCCTAGCATTATATTCATCATCATCATCATTTGACCTTATTGCACCATGGGATGCATAAGGCCTTAGCATTATATTGGCTGGTACCCATTTATACACCTGGGTGGAAAGAGGTACTGTGAGAGTTAAGTGTCCTGCCCATAAGAACACTAACACAATGTCAAACAACGTCAGGACTTGAACCTGGACTGCTCAATACATGAGTGCACAAACCATGTGGTTAGTCGGGTGCACTAACCATGAAGCCCCTGCACCTTCCACTACTTGAAGGTGGCTACATAGTATGGTAACTTTAAGGGGACATTGCATCATTCCAGAAAATATCCATATCCTTTTATGGAAGTTTTCTGGTTTGAACACCCCACTTCTCAGGAGATTTCAGGAACAACATCATAAACCTGGAATATCAAAAATGGTGAGGTGATGGGCTGAGTCAGCTAGGGTCAGATGCAACACTGAACATGTGCAACTTTTTTGTTGTTCAACAGATTGTCAACAAAATGAGGCTTTATAACAATTAATACAAAGGGTGGTTCTTCAACGGCAAGATATTGCATAGATGCAGTCTGTCCTTGTCTTTAAATCAGATGCTGAGAGAAGTGATTGAGAAGGAACTGACACAACAGAATTCCAGCCAACCCCCTCTTGTTGTTGCACTCCCAAAGATAAACAAGTGTCTCATTTTAAGAAAAAAGAGTGATTGCAAGCAGTCAAGAGGTCAGACAAATCTTGGCGAGGTATATTTGAATCTTCGCAAGGTCTATATATTGCATGATGTTGGTTATGTACGGATCAGGGATGTGAGGGACTTCCAGACCCTAAAAAAATTGAAAAATAGTAAACTCTAGCCTCTATCCACAAACTCTTTGCATTTGTCACACAATCTTTCCCCCTCAACAAAAGATTGCTTGACAAACTCAGAGAGCACTGTACATGGCTATGTATTTCCCTCTAATATTAAATAATATTCCCTCAAATAACCTCTTACTAACCAAGTGCGAGGGCCTTTCTTGGGAATGTTGGCCCGAAGTTGTGACAGTACAGACTGAGTGCAGCAAGCTAGGTCCGTACAAAGTATGGCTAGAGCAAGTTAACTAGGTTAGTAAGTAGTTTATTGTATGCACTCGGGCCACGCTTGTTAATTGAATTTACCAACTTTCGAAATTAAAGAATACATGGCTTATAACTGTTTCCATGGAAACGGCCTGTGTGGCAAAATGCCGACCAAGATAGAACCAATCTGGATGCTCAAATCTACCTCAAGACTACCCTGCCTTATAATAAGTAGATATATTGTTGAATGATCAGAAAATAGCTTACATGCATGTGCTCCAATGTATGGTACAATTCCCGGGAATGTTTTACTGAACTGTAAAGCTTCTGATGCAAAACTTATAGTAAGTCCCTCCGGGATCATACCATGGGGATGATAACCAAAGAGATAGTTCCTCGAAGGGTCCAGTTCAGATGTCTTCACAAAGGAGACTGGATAATAATCTCGCATGTATCTGAAAAAGCCATTATTTCTCACAAACTCCACTCTTCTGCCTCCACGGTTATAAGTCTCCAGATCCACAAAATACATCCACGTTAAGTATGCTACGACAAGCGGCCAAATAAAATGACAACAACGATAAAGTACGTAGAAGATGATTGGTCCAAAAATGAACAGTGTCCCAGATGAAAGTATGACGTAGAAAACTATTACACTCAATCCCTGAAGAAATCGATCTCTTTGAGTGGCGAGAAAGTTAACAAGGTTAGACATCATGGAATGTCCGATGACCGAAATCATCACAGCATTGCACAGGTCAGGTCAAGCATACATGAAGCATCATCTGTCGAGCTAGCAACGTAGGCCCGCAATTCGTACTCAAACGCGGGGTTTTTGTTCCGATTACCAAAAAGCGGATTCTCTAACCGCCAAGAACTTGAAACCAGTGTTTTAACGCCCGTGATATGTATTCGTTAATTGATTTCATGATCAATTCCAAAACATGCACAATCCATTAACAAGGCCTGACTGACTGACTGACAGCAACTGACAATTTCGCCGTTCAATCAAAGTTTGCATTTTCACTTGTGAGAGCAGCCTGTTGTAACCTCAATAAACTGCTTTTTCTCACTTCACATCTCCAACAAAACAGAAAAGGTAAGTTCTCTTTCGATTTATTGCCCCCTTTTTGAGTTGCTACGACTCATTTGGACTTGCGAAGGAATCAGCTGGCGACAAGTCAGTCATTTTTGATCATTTTTGTAAGTTTCCTGCGATGATTGACAGCAAACTAAATAATTGGCTGTTTCCACGTTACATGCACTGAGTTGGCTTGAAAATCGGGTTTGCAAAGTTTGAAAATGATCAGTGAAAGGCAAAGAACAATATTATCAAATGAAGACGAGTGTGTTTGGAATTTTATCTACGGTTGCTTCGTGTCCAGTTGCATGAAATTGAGCCAGAGTCTCAAAAGACTTTGTCTCTGAAAACTTGAATGAACTTGGCCAAGAACTTCCCTTTGCTTTGGTAAAAGTCTTTGGCTGAAGCGTCACAGCCACGAACTTAGTAGGGTTTGTTCAATTCATACTTTCGGCGAGTCTTCAAGAACAGCTGCTGAGGTGATCAAAAATATAAATGCGATCATTTACACACTGAGCAAGTATGGAATTGGACGAATCTCCATAGAGCACAAATCGCCGCTTTCAAGCGGTGATTTTGTGTATTTTTTCATTCATTTTCATTTTGGTCTGAATTGTGCTTGATGAAAATTGTGCTCAATACAGGACAGTTGCCTTTCTTCATACCTTATGTAAGTTGCAGAGGTACACTAAAGAGACAGTTGGTTTATGCTAAGGACTTTGCACATACAGTACTTGAATACAGTGATGAATAAAATTGCAGTTTATCTCGTTTTCAGCAAATTCGCCAATTTGCCATTCATTCTTTGCATCTAGAAACAATTGCTATTTGTTGATTTTGCCAGATTTAGACGTGTTTAAAACTAAATCATGAAGTCAAATCTACAAAAATCTGTGCTCGTGCAATCCAGCAAGTATGATATGTCAGGATGTTTATGACGAAACGATCGAAGACGGTTTCCAGGCAATTGTGACAAAACTCAATAATTTGCTTTAGCTATCGGTGCGGTCAGCATTGAGATTCGAAGCAAGGGAATTGCAATGATTTTCACAGTCAAACCGAAGAGAAAATTTCCAAAACAGAAGAAAAACTTAAAACAAAGTACACGAAAAGTTTTCCGAGGAGTAACTCGTTTGAACGAACAACAACAGCGGAAAACGTTTCTCGTCTAAAGACGAAGTTAATATTAAGCAGCACATTCTGAGGAGTCGGGTGGAAAAAGTCAAAACAAGCCGCCATCCGGATTCCGATTTCGATCGAACGAACGAGCAGCAAGGACGTTGGTAGTGATAAAATCCCTAACAGTGTGATAGCTGCGACCGGAAAAAGGCCACTGGGGAGAGACTCGGGTATTGTAACCATGTTTATTTTATTTGAAGCTTTTGGTTTAAGTTTTAAGCGGCAAAAGTTCCAGCCGAATTACATCACTGTATTCAACTCCAGAACGACATTTACCACTGACCTTTGACCTATTTGCATGTAATATTTTAATTCAGTTGCTAAAGGATGTGTTTAGTTCTTATCGACAGGACACTTTTTATTATGAAACGGACACAAGTTTGGCCGAAACCAAAACCAGAATAACAGGGAATAAACTTCAGCTGAAACTGGAAAACGGCGAGCGAGAAGAGCGAGGAAAGGACAGAAAAAGCGAGAGGAATGGGAGGGAGAAAAGCACCTCTTTGAATGCTCTTTCCCATTCCTCTCGTGGATCCCCAGTGAAGCTGTCTTGTTTATTTTCTTAGCACTTAATTTATTAGCTGATTGTAGTAAACTAATCTTTTAATTTTAATAATATTTACGCGAAACCCGCGGAAAACCAGCGACAATTGTTAATCAAATGATGCTACTGACAAACGCCTAACCGCGACTAAACATGCTAACGAACCAACACTGCCAGTGAACATTCAGAGTGGAAAAAACGTAATAAGCGTTCGCTAGTCTTGGCCTCCAGGCTCCAAGTTTGACAAATTGGTCGAAATTTCGTCGATCGTGCAAACGAAAAAAAATTAGTAACTTTACATGCTTTCTTAATTTTCTTGGTAAACGCAGGAGCCACAATCGATTATGGCTCCTGGTAAACAGCCACATTTTCACCTCAGCAACGCGCTTATTCCAACAAAAATAGCATTCCGAACTGATGATATAATCGGAGTGCGTGCTTTTCTCAAGGCATTGTTGAAGTGATTAAAGGCTCAAAAATCCTGACGAAAAAATTCTGAAGACGCCTTATAATGCATTCTGTTTGATTCAAAGTTTTTTCGCGAAGCAGCGTGGAATGAATTTTAATCACGTATATAAAGAGGCGTCAAATGACACACCCTTAGTTTAGATGTTGATCATCGTTGTACTGTGAAGCGAAGCTGCGCGGACATCTTTCATGTTCTTCCTTCAGAAAATTTTATCTTTTCTATCTTCTTTGTATCATATCTATTCATTCAACTGTTCTATAGCTTCAGTTTTATTTCTAAATTTCCCTAGCTTTCCAATTTTGGCCGCTAAACAGACTTGTGACCGCGCCGTGAAGTTCATTGCGAGTTGTCCTTCGGTCGCGCCGCTGAAATCGTCGAAGGTAACTTGTTTTAGGTTGTGTCAATACTGGGTTAGCAAATGCTTTTTTCTAGTGAGTAATTATTGTATGACTCTGCTTGGTTTCCTGCCAAATGCGACCAGTAGGTTAAAATGAAATTTTATTTTTATTCTTGTATAAATGAAAACTTTGACGGTCAAACCGCATTTTTCTGAGATGATTAGGAAATGAATTTTCAAGTTTCTAAGCAATTTTATCAAAACTCTTGCCAGTTTCCACAGTTAGCACTATTTGCAGTTGCTTAAAAATTACATTCCGAGCGAGTAAGTGTTGCAGTTAGCTGATGTTTATATATTTTTTGCTTCGTGCTTCTTTTGTTGCACCGTGCCAGTGTTGCCTCAGTTTTTGAATTTACTGCGCTGTTGCTGTCACTTCAGCCGTCCTTCCTGACAGTAACGGTTTGAAAATGTGCTTTACACCAGACATGAAGGAGGAGCGTATATCAGGTATATATATTTGCTAATTCCAAGCAAGATTTCACAGAAGTACTTTGTGGTCACACTCTAGGCTTTTAGGCTTTTGATTTTTCCCTATTTTCTCTGAAATTTTGATTCAAGTACAGACACAGCCATAAATACAGTGTTTGCGTCCTTATGATGGAGAATTATTTCTTTCAAGCTGCTTTAAACTAAATCATGCAAGATTCATTGATCCAAAGACTAGAAAATCTACCAAACAAGCTCTGGACGTTAGCTGAAATTGATTGATTGAATGAATCTGAGTTAGGAGGGTTTTATTTTATTATTATTATTATTATTATTATTATTATTATATTTTTTTTTCATTTTTCATATAAGCTTATATCATAAGCAGCACGGTTTGTACAGATCCTTGCCTGCCAAGAAGATCAATAATAACAGTGAAAAAGTCTCATTAAAGGCTAACAATCGTGTTTTGCTAGGCTTTAAATGAAAATGGCCTAAAGTATTTTTTGTTGTTGTTTTCACAATCCAGCGGAACAGAGCAGCAGAGACGTGTCCAAAGGAATTGTGTTGGAGCAGTCTCTTTCAGCAAAACAAGCCACTCCTGGTCAACATCTTAGTGATGCAAGCCACTACAATTTTAGATAAGTTAATTGCGTTGTTTTTCAGATTTTTATCCCCTTGTCTTGTTGAAGTGTTGTCTTGTTCATTGTATCGGACAATAGCCTGAACCGGTCCAAAGGGGCGATAGGGATTTTCGATTCTTCGCTGGACATCCAAATAAAATTTGGTAGATTGACCTAAATTTTTTAAAAATTGCTGTACTAATGACAGTGACAATGGTAACATGCTTTCTCTCACTGTTTTAGTTGCAGCATACCTGCTTTGAGATGCTGTCCAGCCACTCTGGAGTTCGACTATATATAGCAGTGGATTTGTTTGTTAATGGCATCTCAATTACATGAAGGTGAGTTTTTATTCCAAAGCATTTTGAAGACTTTGCAGCGCTTTTATTCGCGCGAATCGAAAATCACTGTTACACGTGTCCATTGGTATTCTAGGGCGTTTTTGGAAGTACCTCAGTCTGTAGTGAAAAGCTCAGTAAGGATTTGGTTTGTTTATTGATGTTTTCCTATTTTCCAGGTTGAGCCGTGGTGTGCTGTTGTCGTGTATCAAATTTTGCGGACTCGTGATTGAGTACAACCATCAGTTTTTGGATCAAAGTGTGCAATATGACGTCTCGCGTAACCATTGAAAACATCTTATTATGTCAGATAAGTGAATGGTAGTTTCATATTTCTGTTGTCATATACTGTTACACTGTCTCAACTTCAAGTCCCTTTGCCATATCAATGCATAAATTGTTAAGTATCTTGGGAAAAAAAAACATCAACCGGGGAATGAAAGACCATCTTGATGTAGTATCAAATTCTTAGTTAGTAGAGAGAACTGATATTTGTCGAGCCTAGGACTGAAAGTTGATTTTGGTCGTTGAAGCGAACTTTCGAGTGGTTATTTTTTCTTTCAAGTCAATTGCATTGATGAGCAAAGTAACGAGAAATATGTTTTCGACCAACAAATTCTTACAAAAAATAATGATCAATCAGTTTGCAGGTGAGTTCATTTCCAAGGCTCGATATAGCAAAGATGCCAATGCATCATGGGTGAAACAAACCCTAATGATTCCTGGCAGACTACACAATCAACTGAGGGCCGATGTTTTACGCCGACACCAAAAACTAAATTGAATAAATTTCAGCTAAGGGTTTGACCCTACCTCAAAATTTCAGGAATTTGAAATTAGCTCTTTACATTCATGCAAAATAGGCTTAGGTTATATTGAAGTCTGCTTTGTTTTTCTCAAAGTCAAAAAGAGATGTACTAAATAAAGAGGCAAGTGCTCCTATAGTGCAACCCGTTGGATGAAAGTGATGACACGTGCAGCTCTTGGACTCTAGTGCAAGTTGAATATTGGAAACATCATATTTGAGATAAGTCCAGTTTAATTTACAATTAGATTATGAGCTCAAGGTTCTTTGGGGGTGATTGTTTGCATGCTTAATTAAAGCAAAATCGTGCATACTGAAAAGTTCTTTGAAGCTTGCAGCTGTATTCACACGCTTGTCAGCATTTTGGCCGCAATTTCCAGTATTTAAAGTTGAGTTGCAGTGAATGTCTCTGTTTTCGTATTTTCTGAAACTTCGGAAGAACGAGGAAAACGTCGCCATTTTAACCCTAACAGATTGCAGAATTTGCAATAGTGCCCAAATGGAATTCTATTCATTGTTTTTGTCCCTTCTGTCATTACGCACTTAATGGTTTCAACTCAAAGTAATTAAAATGTAGC